AATCTGTTTTTGTGTGCATCACCAGACAGCTAGCCAGATCATAAGGTCAAACCCGTGGAGAGGGGAGACGTAGGTGTGGAGGACAAAGCCAAAAGAACTACAGCCAAGTGAAAAAGATACCACACCACAATGTGAGCACAGAGGACACAAAGCTTTCCTTTTACACTGTCCACCACATCAATGGAGACCAAATATACGATAGGTCAGAGGACAAAGACCCCGTTAATCAATATGCAGTAATCAATAATATAAAAGTCAGTTGCCATCATTGGAATTTATAGATTAAGGTTTCAAACAGTAGCTGACAAAAAGGAAGCGGATTCAAATAATATTGTTTTTACTGTTAGCTCGTTTTATTTGATGGCATAATTATTTTGTCTAGGGAAATGAGTGGGCAGTGTGAGCGTGATGACAAAGACACAGTGTTCGAGGAAGGGCAAGGGTGCTCAGAATGGAAAGTGTGGGCATAGAGCGGAGATCAACTTGTCCCATCAGCTCCATCGCCCGCCGAGCAGAGGCGTGAGGCAGATAGAGAGCAGGAGGTGAGGGGCGACAGCACTCAGACGGTCCCAGATAACTTGCTTGTTCCCGTAAACACAGGGCAAGCGATGGCACAGTACCAGAGCAGATAGTGGCAGAAAATTGTCAAAGATCACTCGGGTATCTGCCTAGAATACTTGGCTCAATGACATTTAAAACAAGGCCTATATGCATCTCTCAACCAGCAAATTAACTGATCTAAGAGAAGAAGAAAAAAACATGTAACCATAGATAATATGTCTGAAACCACAATCAAATCTATTTGGCCGCTACATGGGATTTGCAACACCCATAATGGGTTAATTGGGCAATGTTAATTGGGCTTAGGAAAACAGCTGCAGGCAGATGGTGCTCTTTTGCTAAAGCATGCAGATGATGCATTAAACAATCACAAAGGGAAGGTCTTATGTTATAATAATATATGTCTAATATGTGTAATATGTAATTGTGAAGCGCTTTGAGCACCTGTAAAAGCGCTCTAATTAAAAATGTAATCCATTATTATTATTATTATTATTATAATGGTTTCATATTAATTATAATTATAGATTTACTAGCTGTCTAAAAGGACCTCCCTCAAAAACTTATTTCGATAAACAATTTAACGTTTGTATTTGAAAACATAACTTTAGGCTCTGGTCAATTTAGATTGATATTTAAAATTATATATGCCTGTATCACAACTGTTTCAATACCGCAATGAGTTGTGTCTCAATTTACAGAGGATCAGAGACTGGCCACCACACTGGAAGAGGAAATACCTGTTTTTTTAAATATAAAGGAAACCATGATGATCTCCAATGTCTGTAGTTCGGTGCCAGTAATATAGCTTTTTTTTTGCACAGTAGACATTCGTTTTTAAAATCCACAGAGGTATGCTATTATAAACACATGGCACTGGATGGTGTTTGGTGTAGGACACAAAAGTTGAGAGAAAGAAACATCTGCCACCAAGCATTGTAGAAAAGCTGCTAAATGAAAAAAAAAAAAAAGAGCTGAACTTCAACAATTAAAAATAATGTATACTTTCATGAAGAAAGGGAAGAGAAAAACTAAAAGTATTATCATAATTGTATATGTAAGGTTTTTGCTTTTGGCCGACACATTTAGAAATATTACTCAAATGCTGTGAAGGAACAAACACATTCAAAACAAACACATTGTAAACTTCACACTTCATCATTTGGGATAATTCAATCATAATATAAAAACATTGACTTGTGGCGTAATGCTGCACAGCTGGAATCCCCAGTGAACAATAACACAAGTGCTTTTTGAAAAACATTGACAATCAGTGTCACATGCTTTCAGCCAGACTCATCCAGAATCCTGTGGCTTTAATTGCCACAACTGTAAAGCATTAAAGCCTCTGTCTCCCTGGATCGAAAGTCAGTGTGAAGTGAGAAATGTGCAGCTCAGTATTCTCAAACACAGAGTGACAATATTCATAAAATGATAGGACGCCTCTGGATCCAACATGTGTGTGACCATCATGTTTATTGTCAAAGCGCTTGATAGCATTTTGTTCTTTAAAACTAAAAGAGAGGTAACACAGGTATTAACTGATAATGTCAAATAAAGTATGCCAGGCCTTAAACTTACATACTGTGCTCCTATTGTGTAATCAACTTGTGTAAGGGAACATCTCTAAAACTCTCTACAGACAGAGACGATCCTTTAACTCTAATAACATGTTTCAAAGTCCTTAGAAGTTCAGGTGTCTGTTTAAGCAAGTGTCAGAACTAAAATATTTAGTTCTCCATCAATGATAGATTGGTACTCAAACAGACATTAAGGAGGAGATAATGTCTGACTTGGCAATGTAAAACACCTGCTTAGTAGCAAAGGAACACCCAAATGACATTCATCATTACAACCTCTGGGGTCATATTCATAAAATATTAATGTCAGGTTAAATTTGCCACCTGTTTTGTCTCCAGCCTATTTTTTCTAATATTTTCCCGAAGGAAACTTTTGGTAATTTCTGGAACCTCAAATTACCTGGCTGGGAAAATATGTTCCACTTTTGAACCTCTAACGTGTTGAAAAAAGGAGAAAGAAGGAGAGCAGGGAAAAAATAAGCAGGTGTTAAGCAAAAGTGGTAGTTAGCACTCAATGCAAATAGTCCCGCTGTTTTCTTAGATTTGTGTCACACACACACACACACACACACACACACACACACACACACACACACACACCACACACACACACACACACACCACACACACACACACACACACACACACACACACACACACACACACACACACACACACACACACACACACACACACACACACACACACACACTACACACACACACACACAACACACACACACACACACACACACAACACACACACACACACACACACACACACACACCACACACACACACCACACCACACACACACACACACACACACACAGCACACACCACACACACACAACACACACACACACACACACACCACACGCACACACACACACACACCACACACACACACACACACACACACACACATTAATTATTACTCTCAGCAACATTATGAGCATTAAATACACATTTGAAAAGCAGACTGGGAGCTGGACAAATTTGGACAACTGTCAATTATATGTTGTGTGGTCTAGTTGCTCCTTTTGGCTTCCCCCTGCACACATGAGAGAGATTATTTATTTCATGATAAAACCTTTGAAATTGTTTAATTTGGAATACAATAGTCAAATGATGGCTGCTGTATATTTGTGAGTCGCTCTTGTGGTTGGTGATGTAATCAGAACTAAAAGTGATTTAATAAAGTGATGCAAAAAGGGTTACAAAAATCAAAGCATTACAAATCCATTGCAAACTAAAGTCAACATTGATTATCTATTATTCCATTAAGAAAGCCCTGTGTGTGTTTCTCAGTGTGAAAGAGAAGGCATAAATATGTATTGCTTAAAATGTTTGTTCTTTTGTTTCTTGATCCATTTATCATTTCATTACCAAGATGATCTTTCAAATGTCCCATAAAAAATAATTGTTTTGTCAAGAATGTCAAAGGCCAATAGCCTGGTTGTCTCACCTAAGAGACACAGTATGTCTGCACTCTGCACATGTCCAGACACGGAAACATGCACACATAGGCACACTTGTATACTCAACACTCACCGACACAAAGAAAGCCAGGGGGAGTTGGGGAAAGAAAAGAATACGACTCTAATCAACTGTTGTCTAAGATTGTTAGATGGGACTGTCCTGTTCATAAATCAGAGTTTTATGGTCTCTAGTTTTCCTAACCCCCTTGGCCTTCTCCCTCTGGTCTCTGTTGCCTTCACATCAGTCCCAGGACCCCTGGTGACCTGCCTCCCGGAGGCAAAAGCATCCTCTCAAGAAATCAATTGGAGCGCTATGACCTGTACTCCTTCAAACCTGTCACTCACTCTGAACTATGCAAGAATCCCCTTAGCACAGCATGTAATGTATGTTTCAAGACAATATAAATTCAAGAAATATGTGCTTTCATGTGGGGAACCAATTGTTTACATTAACTCAAGCTAGCTCCACCTTACAATGTAACAAACTTTCAATCAGTAAACCTTTATCCCCAAATGTTTATAAGCTGTGGCCGTTAGACAACTGCCTTATATTGTTGCTATTGGACGACTGAATGATTCCTATCTCTGGCTTTTTCCAAAGTGGCCTGAAGGCAACCAAGCCATTCTAATTCTGCTTTAATGTGGGGACAATATAAACCTCATCCTTTTAACAGCCCCCTGTAAAAAAAAAAAGACTTCCTTTCTATTTAGTTGTCGTGAGATGTGTTTAACCTGAGGGGACAGTGACACAGGGGAGTGCATGATGTGGAATTTAAGGGTGAAGTACTGATAGATTGACATCATTAAAATGCATTAGAGCTAATCTGTAGGTATAGATTCCTTAAACTAACCACCTTTAGTTAATGAGCATGCTATACGTCTTTCGGTACGACATGTGTTATCTATCACTGAACAATGAAACAAAACTGAAACAATTTCAGTCAGTGTCATCAAACTACAGATAATAAAATATAAATGAATATGTTTGAAAGTTTTTCATTCACGTTACAAAGCAATTGTTCAGAACTGCGCATAGGCGACAACAGGCCAGATAACGTTTAATTGCGTTGCAGCTAAAGTTAAGTCAGGTACACCCTTCCATTCCTTTTAAATCAACCCTACTTTATTTTTACCATTCCCCTCTGCATTGACGATACTGCTGTGCTCAAGCAGCAGCCCGATAGTAATGTAAAAAATGAGCCATGCACTTTAAGCAGTGCTGTTGTTTATCTGAAAACAGCCTTCAAGCTGCTGATCCTTGTCTCTTATATGACCTTTAAAATCTAAAAATATAAAGGTTTTGTCCCCTAGACCATATTGTTAACCTTGAAGATTTTATAACACGGTATAATATGAATCTACCCAAAGCTTTTGCTCACCGAGATGTCATTACAGATCTTCTGATATGAGAGATGACAGTGATCTGTTGTGACGTGGAATGAATACACAGCCTTGTCGCCTTTTCTCCTTCCTCCTCCTCTACTTCCTGGGCCTCCTGTTAGCGCTTGAAGAAGATCCTCAACATATCTGTCCCTTGTGGCTCCCAAGTCGTTGGCTTCTTTTGTCACCTCATCTTCTGAAACTGAACACAAATAGAAGGCATTTTTCTCATTTTTGCATCATTTTCAAGTGTTCAGTTGAAAGAAAAGCAAAGAGGTGATGGCAGACTGCAGAGCAAAACTATAAACATTAATTATGAGGCAATGCGTGAATGCATGTGAAAGCAGATTTAAAAGGAAGCGTTCAGAGAAACCGAGGGGAATGTCATCAGCTGTTGCACAGCTGCTCACACGGGGCTCAGGGTCCCAATTAACACATCAAACACAGAAACACTGACGACCCAGAAGCCCGCACATAGCTGTCACAACCCCATCTCTGCCTGTCAACTCTGCAGATGGACGGCAATAGAAAACTAGAGAGCAGTTAAGTTCCAGGTGTCCTTCCCGAGAAAAGGTACTAATGTGCATATGTTACAACACACACAAACACACACACACAGAAAATTGACTTGCACATACAAAGACTAGCCTTGTAGAGTTTAATCTACTTTCTACACCTGTAAGCTGCAGCACAGAGGTTGGAAAGGATGATGGAACAAGGTCACTGCTGTCCCTCTGTTTAAGGACTAACAGCTACAATATTGTGGGATGGGGTCAGCCAGGTGCCTCCACAGTTTGGACGGTCTGATGATGATGCTAACCTGGTGACAACCTAGTCTAATCAATGGTCAAAAGATTGAAGTCTTTGTAGAACACACAAGCCAACAATTGTAGGTTCCTCATCTGTTTTTGAGTTTGCATATCTGAAGTCTTTACCCTCTCCGATCCACGCCGAGTGTCCATCGGTGAGAGCTAATGTGAATCCAACACCCAGGTCTACGGCCCAGTCCACTCGCAGGAAGTAGGGGGTGGCTGCACCTACAGAGATCTGTTGAACTATTCCACTCATGACCTGCAGAAATCAAAGATAGGAGATGAGAAACTCTAACCATAATGAATACATTTTCCAGAAACAGGTCCGTGGCATTGTGTTCAGGTTATGACGTGGGTTTGGATCATGATTTGGACCTCTTACCAAGCCAATTTGATGTTACAAGTTTGTGTTGATCCTCCAGTTGCATCAATGAGCCTCATTGTTTACTTCTTGGATTTGGTAAGAACATGTCCCTGTGTGTCTTTAATAGGGCTCTCTGTGTTTTTGGCAGGTTTTTTGTGCGGGCTTGGGGGCTCCCTGACCTACAGCAAGTTAATTACAAGCTATTAAAGATAAATAGAACAATACCGAAAAAGGCCAAGTTGTTGTTTGAATTTAGTCAATGTGAAGAGAAGAGCTATCCAACGATCTACAGTATACATATATTGAGTCTGAATACCCTTAAATCACACAAACTACATCAGTTTGCACAACAAGATTTAAGTCTGGAAACATCCCTCGAGTATGCTCAGTAAAGCATGTAAAACTCACATTGCTTTGTAAAAATAAATCAAACTATATGATACACTGTAGAAGAAAGTTGAACCATTATTTAGGTGCAGGGATTAATATTAACCTTAAACTTGATTTGGATAGGGAGAAAATTCAACATTTCCAGAAGAACCATAATGTTTGAAAATACCAAGCAAGGGACAATCACAGCCCTGCAAGTCATGGGTCCTAGCATTCAGTGATGTTTCATCATACTTTAACTAAATCATTATTTGCCAATACTAAACTCCTCTACATGCTGAGCAAGCCTGTTTGCTAAATGTCACATTGCCCTCGGCCTTATGCGTTGACAAACGGATTCACTCCAGCAGTTAAAGTTAAGTATCCTTCCAGAAGCTGACTTTGTTCAACAGATCAGTTATTAACGATGTTGATCAAAGGGCTTCAATATGATCCATGACATTGTTCCTTACATGTACTGACTATTATTCTTCTCAGGGGTCTTGAGAACTTTTACTTTATTACGGATGTCTAGGCTAGAACACGTGATTACTGCTTCCACGTGAAGTGAGAGGTGAGTTGAACATCTCCCCTGCTTAACTACAGGGCTTAGTGTGTGGGGATACGGGGAAAAGGACAGCTAAATTGGTAGTTAGCTGGACATGTTTTCAAAAATGAAAATGAGCGCCTTCGGACTCGGTGTTATAAGTTAGGACGTGACAGCACGTCGTTTTGTTTTTTTATTCTTTCTTTGTATCCCCCATGCTATATGCTGACAGAGCAGGTGGTCAAGGTTATTTAAAATGAGACATTCAGCAGAGGCCTGGCACACACACACCAGTGCATATGCACAAAAAACCTTGCAGCAAAGTTGACCCTTTGTGCTTTGAGAAGGGGTGTGGCTGGACGAAAGGGGATGAACAAGATGAGGGGGCTGAAGGGTTCAACTTTAACCTCATAAAGTGAGCCCAGCTACTCATTAGTTACTGTAACATCTGTTGTGCAGGGACGATGACCCTGTGGTAATGACAGAAGGACACTCCAATTAAATAAACAGCACTGTATCTCAGGAATGGAGAGCCGCGCAAACCTTCAAAGTCAATCCCAAAGTCTTACTGTTCAGTAACTCAGTTGGCGGACCAAACCACAGGAATGCTTAAATCATCAACGATTGCTCCCCTACAGTTTTGACACACAGCCTTTATCCTCTTAACTTACTCCCTCTGTAATTTCTTTCCTCAACCTTTTCATTGTCATTTCTTTCACATTGCCGCATATGAAAACTGCAAGACATAACTGCAGGAAGTACTAGGTAAATGTGTCACAAAGAAAGCCTCTAATTATGCATAGTGACTTAAATGAGGAGTTCATAGAGAGTAGAAAAGCCAAGGCAGTTAACTACCTGTTTAATGGGCCTAGACAATTAGGCCAGTCTTCCTCTCATTGTCCTTCCACTGGACTTTCCCTTCATGCTTTCTACAACACTCCAAGATTTAAAGAAGAACTCTAATGATCGCTCAGGGAATAAAGCAGTGCAGCACTTCATAGCAACGGACTGTGTCATTCGCTATTGTTCATTGTTATTATCAAGCATTGGCTAATTTAAGCCACTTGACAAATAGAAACAGTATAAGCAAAGATAATACGCACCACAATAAATCAAGGCCTAAATGTTAAGGGGGTGTGTGACCAGAATTTGACCAATGCATGCTTTTACACAAACACTATGTTTAAAGAACTACTGTAATTGGACCATGGACATTTTACTACTTATATTTTTGCTGCTCGCAGAGGGGACTGTGATATAGTGTTTGTTGTTCAGGGTCCTGCTCTTTGTGTCATTGGCTCATAATTCCTGTATTGAACCCATATAGTAGAAAAAGCATTTAAGATTGTTTCAGATCTATATTTAACATCTTTGGAAATGTGTATTATGTTTCTGAGCAGCAATAGCGCTAATGGTGGCACAATAATTTAATACAAGCTGCAACGCAACCTCACCCTCGTTCACAGAAAATTAAGAGTATACAGGTAAGTGCGTTAACTCGTCTAATACATTTCAATAATATAAACTTCACTGAAACTACACAAGGAAGAAATATGCTTCAGTTATTGAAACATTTGAGAATAGAAACTGTACCACTGGTTATTCGCAAAGACATTTTAAATGTCCTGCAACAAAAGATAGGAGTGAGAAGCCAAACAGTGATCACACTAACGGAGCCTACACACGGCGGCGTGCGTTGCCGCTTCAACGCTTCTGCCCATTCACTTTGAATGGGGTGACGTCACGATTCGCCGAACTGCATTGTGGGAGCAAAGCGTAGCTTCTCTCGCGGTGCTCGCTGCAAAAGTAGAGCAATGTTCTACTTTTGCCGCCTCGACGGAGGCGTCAGCCAATCAAATCCCGCGTATGCAAATCTGACATTACAAGCGCAAGCCAATCAAACCGCGTGTATGTTGGGAGAGCCAGACCGCAGTTATTTCCCATATGTAAAAAAAATGGAGGAGAAAAAGATCGTGGCGGTACTATATGACCAGTCCCTCTTTACATACAGGGATACAAACCGGAGGAGCCAGGCATGGGGGGAGGTGGCAGAGACAGTGGGTGACACTGGTAGGTTTTCGCCTTTTTGGGGAGTTTATATCCAGTGTACTTCGTTTGAATGGACAGCTAGCAAGCATAGACAGTATATTTAGCCAGCATGGATGTAGCATGAATGCTTTGCTTTGTATGTCCGTGGCGGGACATTCATGTGATTGGTTGTTGGTCGCGTTGTTCGTAAAAAATCCCCAAGCTTCAGACACGCCCACCGCCAAGCGGTAACGCACGCCGCCGTGTGTAGGGGCCGTAACTTTAACTCTGCATTCAAAACCTTGAAGATATTACTAATTTAAACATAAGCATTCCTTTTAAACAAACATTACTAGCCCGCAAAGGGTTGTCCTCTCGTCCTCAGCTGTTCTGTATAATGTTGTATAATGTCTGGCTATCTATCCGCATAACAGGTCATTTCATATCTCAAATATTCACAAAGGAATAAGTTGCAGGTGTAAACTCCTGCTCAGTCACAAAAGCAACTCTTAGTGAAGATTGCGGTTGTGTAAAAGTAAAGAGACCAATGCATAATACGACCTCCATATTGTTTTAAAACTGACAAGAATCCATGTGACCATTTAAACTGCAGTTCAGCTTAATTAACATACAATAAAACATCTATACTTTATTAAAGAAGGTTTAACTCTGCAATGAATAAGGAATGTTATTCCAAAAGCGTTTGACCTAATCTTCTTTTCAATTCAAATATTAAAGGATTGCACATACAGAATATACATCATGCCTTGATTTGACTGCAATATTATCAGGTATGCTCTGATGAGTTCATCATCAGAATTAGCAACCCGCAATTATCAATACTGAATATCCAAAGTTTCTGCAGTATGCATAAGGAAGAGCTGCTCTCTCGACTCTCGGACAGTGATTCAACACACACTCTGATATGTTACTTTTAATAGAAATCTATAAAAATTCCCTGAATTATCAAACCGGAAGTGAATATGGATCTTTTTTGTATTGTATCAAAAGTTAGAGAAAGGCGTATTGTGACATTAACTGGGATGTAGCTTAAATAGTTAAATCCACTGTAAACTCTGAAGAGCAATGAAGAGCAATGTGAGCGTTGCTTATCTTTTGCTTTTACAAACCTGCAATCCATCGGAAGACTGTCTCTTTTTACACCAAGGTTGTGTCCACACTATTGCAGTAAAAAATGCAAAACATTATTTATGTGTGGTTAACAATCTGACAGATTTCTTCTTGCATGAGGATCTCCCTTGGAGTGTCTGTGAATGAATGTGGGGATTTATGAATCATGTTTTCAATGGAATCAAGATGCTGCCATGGCTGGTTAGAGGGAATTGGGACTATGTTGTGAAAACTCTGAGGGAAAAGTGCACCACAAACATTTCAGATGTATACGTGACCAAAAGAGTGGAAGATACTGTATATTATGTGGACCTTTAAGAAAAAGAGTCACATTTCTCTATTGGATAAAGGGATTTTTTTTTTTAGGGGTTAGGGTTGAAGCCTTCTTTTTCTTCGTTTTTTTGGAAGTGTCATTATTTACAGCCTTATAAAATAATCATAACGTTATAGCTACTTCCGGGTTCTGCAAATGCTGTCTCTGCTACGTTCCTAATATATTTCTACTACTTTAATCACCATAACGTATCTTTACACATCCATGAATGGAACAAAAAGGTAATATTTGTTGTAACGTAAGAGATAATAATGTACGCCTTGAACTGCAGAAAGGCGAGTTTTAGAGCGTGCTGCTATGTATCCGCTTCTCAAATGTAAGTGGTTTTCACTCAAATCAGACTGAATTAACAACAATTGTAGTGTTGGTAAAACATTTAACCTACATATTTCCCCAAAAGACTTACGGTATTGTATGTGCTTACTACTGCGATGTCCAAACGAAGGCATTTTTGCATGAAACTGAAATCATTGCAGCTCTCTCCCTGTTGGCAATTCTGACAGAATGTTCAAGCTATCAGCAATCGGGGTTGAGCGCGTAATTACGTCACGCAAAGTTACGTTAGTTACGTTACGTATCTTCGAGAGAGCAGGAAGTGTGATGTGGCTTTGACTTGACAAAAATGGTAAGCTTGTTTTTATTTATAACTCGCCTTGGCTCTTGTACAGCATATTTTAAGCATATTCCTTAACACACACACTACTTCTAATCAGTGTCACGAAACACTAAAGCAACTAACGGCTACAATTCGGTGCAAAGCAGGACGTATGGTAAATGCTAAACTATCTCGCTAGCATAGGTTAGCTAAAATAGGCTAAACGTGTAGCCAGTCAAGCTGTAAGATGAATGTTTCCGTGCTTAAATATCGTTACAATACATTTTAACATCACCATCTAAGATCCATTTCTGTGTCAATGAGAGGGTTTCATAAGAAAGGAACAAATGCTTGAGTTATGAATGCAGCAGCGCAATGTGCCACGTAGATGCACCATAGTTCATAGAGCATCTGTGTTTGGCTATAAGGACAAGTCTGTCGGTTTGCAGGTAACTTAAGTATTCCCCAAATAACTTATTGAATTGCAATCGTAATGAAAAGCATACTTGTATTAGCAAATGATCAACAACGTTCTACATATACAACACATGAATCAATAACAGCCTGTTCGAGGGATGATAATTAGTGCTATAGAGCAACAAGTGTGCATGAATGTACTTGTTGATTATTTAATTTGTATATGCACAATAATGTTTAATTATTGTAAAAGACAAAAATATATCACCCATTTTATAATTATTATTATTATTCAAATAAATTATTGTAGTTTTAAAACGGTAATTTCTGGATTAAATGAGCATTTGATGTGAATACTACCTAAAAGAGACTCTTGGATTAATGCACATTAATGTGATGTGTTAATGTGAGTGTAAAAAACAAACATTGCAGAGCCCCTTGGAGTACCTTCACAAGCAGATAGTTCATTGAATTAAATACATGTATGACTCATTGAGCATTCTTGGATGTGTCTGAGATGTCCTGTACTCCATTGTAGATATCAAACAGTGATGACGGATGAATGTAGTGGGTAATTAGTTTATATTATCATCATTTTGAATTACTTACCATTTTAGAAGCCTCAGCAGACACACGGCCTGTTTGACACGGTGTTTAAATACGCTTTTAATACACAAAATCATAATTACAAATCTTCAACTAACTGTGATTTCTTGTGAGTTTGACGAGGTCCTACACTTTGTTATTTTTTTTTTTTTTTTTTGTTATACCCATATACCTTTTAGGCAGGTAAGTGATCTCGTAGAAATAGCATATGTAGGATATTTTTCACTGGCACCATATAGAAAAACATGTTATTTCCTTTTCCTCAATTTGCCGTTAAGTCTTTTTGAGAGCAGTGAGTCCATTTGTGTCTGCAGAGCCAGCCCACGTCTTTGTCACACAGGAGGAACGGCTTGTACAACAACATTCCTTATAACAAGTAGCATTACATAAGTGTTGCAGAATATTAACGAAAGTGAAGTCAGTGTTTTGGATGTTATGACTTATTGATGTTAAGGTGCATTAGATCCTGTCTGTACTAAATATGTAATTCTGTGTCATCTTGCAGTCGGCCATTTTCAACTTCCAGTCACTGTTGACAGTGATTCTCCTCCTGATCTGTACCTGTGCCTACATCAGAGCACTGGCTCCCAGCCTGATAGACAAGAACAAGACCGGGTATGATCAGATACTGTTTGCGATACTTAACAATGAAGCTGCCATTGAAGTCTTTCCAGTCATTTGAACCCTCAAATACCTGCCTGCATGTCTTTGAAGGAGACCATGTTATAAAAAGCTGCATAACCAAATCATTTTTGTTACATTAAAGTCTTAGTATCAGGGTTAAAAATGAATAATTGTCTTTCACCAGTCATATCATTCAGTGCATGCTACTGTGTAGTAGTACAGCTATCACTGACAATGCAAGGCGAGGCAATCATTCAACACACACATTATTTGCCATGTAAAGCTTATGCATTAGCCTTCAAGGTCCCGTCCCCATAAACGTCTTCATTATAATAGTTGATTCCTAGGTGGTCACTTCTGTATTTCAACTGACATTAATGATATTTCTCTCTGGGGTAAAAAACAACAACAACACAAGAAATGGTCTGCGATAAAGCTTTAGCCTTGCAATTTTCCATCCCTATGTAACTGCCTTTAAAGAACACTTCTCAGCTAATAAGGCGCTCCTCGTTGATGCGAGTAAAGAGGCAGAAGGCCTAAATGTTCTTCACACTGAATCATTATTATTCTTGGATGTACTAACTCCATGATTCACTTCTAATAAGTCTGGCACAGCCCAGGAACAGCCAGACGCATTCTCTCTCTCTCACACACACACTCACACACACACACACACACGCACGCACACACACACACACTCTTCTCTCTCACCCAAGCACACACACACACCATTGGAGCAGGGAGGGACGCCCTCTTCAGACGAACACATGAGACTGAGACTGGCAGATGGATGGTTTAATAGTGTCCCTCTTGATAGATTTGTTGACTAAGGCATGAACTGTTATTTTTGTTGACCCATTTTGCAAATTATTCTGGTGTGGTAGGGATAGGCTAGAGTCTGAGGGGAAGAATGTATGTGTTGTACAGAACAGATATTAACATGATATGTTTACAAATACATTTTAAAACCAGGACTATCCTAAATCAATCAAATACAAATAAAATGCTGACCCCATCTGGTCAGTTTGAAAGTTTAAAAATGTACCTTTGCAGACACCCGCCCTCACAAAGGCCAGCAAACGCCTCAGAGAAAAGTGAAGGCCTGGAATGCCAGTTTCCCTCAGCTGTCACTGGAGATAATACGCATTGCCTGACCCCCCCCCCTTTCCCCATGTGAACACCCCTGGCTTCACATGGACACTGACATCTGATAGCTGTCTGGGTTTGTGTACCAAAGTGGTCACAGTCCTCTTGTAAAGCAGGGACAGGAGTCTGACTTGAAGTTACCGTAGCTACCTCAACATATTAAAACTGCAGCCCCAAAGCAGTCAAATCATTTGAGTCTTTTTTTGTGCTTACCATTTTTCAATGTGTTTCTTTTAGGCTTCTAGGAATTTTCTGGAAGTGTGCCCGAATAGGTAAGCCTATGATTACCCCTTATTTTACGATGCATAATGTGTTTTTATCATAGTATTACTGAAATGTTGCTAAGCAATTCTGCTTTCAACTTTACATCATTTCTTTGCTCCAGGTGAACGGAAGAGTCCGTGGGTGGCTTGCTGCTGTGTCGTCATGGCTTTTAGTATACTGTTCCTACAGTAGCAGTCCACAGAAAAGCACAAATGGAAACATTGGGGAAATGAAGAGACGACGAGGCATGGACAGTACGATCCTAAAGCACAGCAGGACCTCCAGTGATTGTCACTCAGATAAAGTAAAACCAGAGAGCAGTCATCACTCACCGTAGCCACGGAGAGAGTAAATGTGTCCTGTGTGGGGAGGGGGGAGCTGATAGCCAAGGAGTGTGTCTAGATCCCTCTGCGGACTCCCAGGTCCTCGTGTTTGCTAATGTGGAATGTTTACTCCGGATGTATGTGAGTGGGGGGGCCAACGCTTTCTGTTATCTGCCATTTAGTTTAAAGAAGAGTCGGTCACATTCTGGCATCATTGGTGGGATCAAAATGACACATTGTTTGTCCAAACATTTCACACTGATTTATTTTTCCCCTTTCAGTTTGTCACAATTGCGTCAACCAGTTGGACATTTTCCACAAAAAGGACCTTTCTAAACTGTTATGCGATTCACATGGAGGCTTATATTTGTAAACAAGAGTTCTAGAGGAGTGACTTAAAGTCATCTCGTCACCCTCTGTCTAACCTGCGCCCTGTTTGTTGTATTCAGAAATGGTGATCGTATTCAACAACAAACAAAATGATACTTTAGCTCTTCAGGTGGTTCATTGTCCCACGTGTTCGCCACAACGAGCTGCTGATGTTTTTAAAGTCAGTCATTTTGCCGCTATTTATTAAAGAACCTTTTTGGAAATCTGGTCTTAGGCTGTTTTTGTCTTTTTTGGAGTTGATGTCTGTTGTGATAATGCCACACTTTAAATAAAGTGTCATGTTGATAACATACATTGATTTTGTCAATATTTTATTTTTGAGGGTTTGATTACACATACTACATTTAAGATTGCACCTGCAAACTTGGATATCAAGTTTCTTAATACATGTTTAGGCTAAGAGGAAACAACCACGTGAAATGGGGAACTCTTCCTGTTCTCAAAATGCATACAATGTATTATTAACATATTGTAACGCATGACCAATTTTCTCCTGCATCCAAAATAGTGATTCAACTCAGATTTGGGATTTCAGTTCTGGAATTGCTCCATAAACAAATATTTTGCGAAATATATTTCACAGAGCATTTAAGGGGAATTGTTGTTTCAGAATGGTTGGATAAAATAAAGCTGATTTGAGTACAAAAAGAAACAATTCTGTATTTCCACAAAATCCGGATATCTATGGAGCAGCTCCATTATTAATATGTGATGACATCAAATGTAAGATTTTTCTAGTTTCTTGCTTTAAAAGAGTAGCAGGAAAAGTCATGAATCTTTATTTATTGAACCTATAGGCAATGGAAATCCCACATTGACTTCTTAATTTAAAGTGGTGTTCCCCTTTAGGGATCGCTGCATTAGGGAGCATGTGCAGTGTATTCCTCATGCAGTGAGATGGACATTGAAGAGGTCGCGGTAACCTCTTTTATAACCTCGCAGTCATCACTCGTCTTCACAGTGGTGACTGCAAAGAGCTGTCGTACCACATAACATGACATCGCTAGATATCTATCTAGTATTTAGTTCCAGATATATAGTGCGTTTTGAATTGAAATCTGGGTCTTTATACACACCAAGGCTTTGATGTAATGTGTTGGATGAAATTCAGGGGGCCGAAGTATA